TGATCGCGAGATCCGGAGACATGCTCGCCTAGAAACCTGTCCTCCCCCAGTACGCTCTCTCTGGACCGCTCTTCAAAGGCCCTGCGACCAACAGTACTGGCATTGTTATTCTCCCAGCGGAGATAGAGTGGTTTGAAGAAAAGCTTACAACGCAGCCAAAGATGTAGAAACTGTTGATGGAATGCAGAAGAAGGGCAGGACGCCTGATAGAAAGGCACTTAGCTTGCAAAATGCCTACGATTGTATTGCAGCCTCTAAAACTGTTTCAAGATCTCTAAGAAAAAAGAAATGTATGTCGCACAAGGCATGACCTACAGGGTGGGCCCAATTATGCATGAACTCAGGGTAAGTATATTTTATGACAAGATCAATGGTCCCAATTAGGCTAACAATGCATGCAGAAATCCTGATCAAAACAAACACCTAGTTTTTGAAAATGTGATTCAGGGCAGCAGCAGGGAATAAAGGACATTAGAGGCACCAAATCATGGGGGTCTCCTTGAAAACGAAGCGAAGAGTTTGAAGTGATTTATTGTTTTTTATTTTCGCCCTTCTAAGGGACACTGTAGTCTTTGATCATAACCATGACCATGTCACGTTAGGTGATTCGTTCTTCTGAGATATCTAACATTTTCCTTTGCTGCCTGGGTTGGCACGTCGCCTAATTAGCATGCACCCGTTTTTCTGGTCCCGACCCATACTCACGTCATTTTATTGAAATTTTGCTTACCAAATTACCGCCCAAAGCATCATTAGAGGCTACTGAGCCACTTTAAATTCTGATCGCGACCCCTTTATCTCATAATGCACGGAATGAGTGTCTGTTTCCATAGGCAACGATACTCAGGTCTGCTGTGCGGTTACATGGATCATGTCAAGAACACCCTTGGCTTGAGTGAAAGGCCGGGACATAGCCCGGGTGAGGACCCCTTCCGATTCTCAAGTGAGTCGGGGGCTTCGAGAAGAGTGATAAGCCCGGTACTTATCCACTGGACAGTGAAAAGGAGCATCCGGTCGATGTCCCATTTCTTGCGGTACATATTGAGGATCTGGGCTATCCGTCTGACTAACGAAAGGCAGAGAGGTCTTGGGTATGTCTCTCAATGTCGACTTTATGAAGCCGTCGCTCCTTGATCGAAGGGACCCGAAGAGGTGCATGATATTTGTGTGGTAATACAAGCTAGTTATCATTATCGAGACACCCAAGCCGTACTATATAAGCTCAGACTTTCTGAACCTTGGCAAATAAGCGACACAAAATATACAGCTCGGTTAACTTTAGTACTTCAAAACGGCTACAGCATGAGCAAGCGGCGGGGCAGCTTTTCGATGATGATCTAGCTAGTACCCAGAGTAGGTCTGCCGTGCCCAAATGGGGCCGCAACGGGAGCGTGACCCAAGTGCGGCCGGTCCCTAATAGTTTCGCAGAATAGCATTCTTTTTCCTAAACCTCCTTGGTTTACAGAGACTCTTCTCAGTGTCATACTGTTATTAGTACTAGAGGTTTATGACCCGTGCATTATAACACCTACAGGTTTTTAGCTACAGGATCTGCCGTCTCAATATGTATGCTCATATTTATTTGATATGTCCAATATAGCAATTCAGCAAAAGGAAATAAACAGCATGAAGGGGATGATATGTTGAGAAACATATCATACGCTTAGAGCTATTGACTACTACACTTTTTGGTCAAATACAGAATGTCACGTTATGGGCTAAGGACAGGTAACGAAAGTGCTGCTCTTATCAAACGCTTCCAAAGGTAGTAAACAGCATCCAACCATGATTGTGTTTAAAATAGGCATTTCACTAAATAAAGGAGAAGCATTGTAAAAATGCTATCGTGGTGCAAAGTGTTTGGGTCCTACATCTAACGGAAGTCATATCGTATATACTGTCCCGAATCATCAAAGGATCAGATATGTAGTTGGCATATATGACCAATATTTAGCTTTTACACCATAGCTTGGGAATGGTGGTCCATTTTATATATACACTACATGATGTTGATTCTGAGCCCAGTTTCCGGAAAAGTGAGAAATGTGCAGCCGACTACTACTACATCAGCCTTAGGTCAGAAGCCGCGTGAAAGAAACAAAGCTGCAACGATCTCTTGGAATCACAATGTTATTTAACAGTTTCTGATTATGATGTGGCATTGTCCAGATTGTTATCCAACAGTGTCGCGCGCCTTAATAATACCCTCATTCACTATCATCTCACACACCTTATACCATTCATCTTTTGGTATCTCTACTTTAAAACCTTCATCAAGACCCAGAACCATCCAGGAGCTATCGCGTGCACATCCAGATATATATGCAGCAATGGCAATTCTCTGTGCTATACCACGCTTTTTGAAAACCCGCAACGCCCGAAGGAGCTCTTTGACCGCCTAGAAAGAAAAGAAGTTTGAGTCACGGGGCTGCAGTTAACAGGACAGTTAACCCACATCAAAGTCTGCCTGGTGCAGAGGCGCCAACTCATCACTAATTGAAAATTGATCAATATCTTGGTCTTCTAGTTCATCACTAGCACTTAAAATCTGACCAATAATATTTAGTTTCTGTCTAGTTCTCTTGATGAGTGTTATACACCTACCGGTAAACAGAGGTCAACAGTCCGCGACATGATAGTAGGCAAAATATAGGGCGTAGATCGGCTGCGATATTATCTTATTCCGAGGATGGATCGGATATGAAAGCATGAAAGCAGATTGGGGTTGAGGGGTATTTAAATTAATACAATCTGCCGTACCCGAATGGGCTTGTAGGTGCTAAATGTTAGATGGACCTCTAGGCTCTTCCGCAGGTAGAGTCACCATATGAAAGCAGCTAAGAATACAATTTCGGCAAAATATTCCAACGCCGTTATTTACTGTAAGTATCTATGATTCTTCCTTTGGGCATGCAGCAGTACTAACATATCTTAGTCAGATAGGGGCCCAGGACTCCCCTAGATGTTAGAACTGCCAAGCTCCTCAGGGAACAGCAGGTCATCTACTAGTCGAATGCAGGTTATGGCGCCACCAATGGCAGACCTGTATAGAGCCCTAACAAAGGCAGGAGTGCAACCACCTGGACAAGGAGAGATAGCCCCAGAAAGCCGTCTCTTCAAGGATCAGAGGGCCACAAAGGCCCTAATAGCGTTTCTTGCAACGACGGATGCTGGATTCTTCCCAGGAGAGGCAGCCAGAGGGATAGATAGGATCTGTAGAGACAATCAAAGATCTTGGGCTAGTGAAGGAAGCAGAGATTAGGGGAGAAGGATAGCACAAAGGGTAGCCTAGGCACACCTAGGTAATACCCAGCAGACAACGAATATCGAGGAGGGTATAGCCCAAAGGCCCTGGCGCAGATAGGCGGATCGGGCGAGGAAAAGGACCAGAACGAATATACAAGGGAGAGTAGGAGGCTATAGAGCTCCTAGGGATAAATTAGAGGCAGTGGTCGAGACCACCGCCTAGACGCATGTGTCTGTCATAGCCAACTGGCTCTATATGGACGTTAAACTTGATTAAATAAATAGATATGATTCTTCTTGGCGCGACTCAATTCACTAAATGATTATAATTGGTAGGTTAGTTGATATTGGCCCTGGAGTTATAGATCTTATACTGTATCGAAGCCTCAGAAGCAATCAAACCTCTATTGCCTCCCTCTGCAGAGCCTTATTTACGTAGTTCACAGATAATTTTCATTATATTTTTCCGTTATTTGGTGAGCACCAACCGGGATATCAAAAGAGGTATTATGTGTTCAGATCTCATGTCCCTACTCTCAAAATTGGTCTACATTCAGGTCAGCAAAAATATATAAAGTTAGCCAGAACTCTTACTTTTCAGCCTGTACAGCACCCAGTTACACCTTACAGCCAGCAAATATATGAACCTGTCGAAGAAAGTATGACGTATTTCGATCTTGGCAGCCTTGAAAATAAGGTAATCCTGCATTCTCCGAGTATTCCCTGCCAGCATAGACTATCCATGCGAGTGGTGCTGTCCATTCTTTATCATCGGCATTTACATTTGCGCCATGTTCAATAAGCAGCTTCACAGCTTGAAATGCGCCATGCTCAGCTGCCCAGGATAGCGGAGTTCGGCCATGAGAGGCCCTTTTATCAACCTTGGCGCCATAATTTATAAGAAGCTCGATTATACGTATCTGGTCATTGATAGCAGCAAGTGCCAACAGCGGTTTTCCCTGGCTCTGCTTGTTCTTCTTGTCACAAAAATCGGGGCTTGTTCCCTCATCAAGATACCTTTGGACGTCATGGGAAAGGCCTTTTTCAATGGCCGATTGCAGCCCACCTGGGATCTTTGGTTTGTTGCACATTGTAACTAGGGTAGGGGAAAAAGTATAGAACAGAAGAATGACCCACAGAGATGATGAGCATGTATGTTATTATTTTTGAATGGCCTGGACGGTAGACTGAACCGCCTGCAGGCGCTAAACGGGGTCGCAGCATAAAGTGCAGAATACACGGAGATACTAGTGAGCCATTACATAGCCTAGCACACCGAGGCTCCATTCATTATTAGCATAGTACTACTAGATCGAACACTCGATGCACGACTTTTGAAGGTTCATGAATTAACCCTTCCCAACCTCTCTTTATATCTTTGTTCACTTGATTAGACAGACACTGCTACGCAAGATGAACTCTGGGAATATAGGAGAGAGACAATGGTTTTCCAAATCCTCAATGGCTATTTTGCCAATATCGACACATAGATGCAATATATACATGTTTATTCATATTGATAATTCACACTTCAGGCATATATGCGCAAGCTTTCTACCATGCTGATTATTCAGAAGTTCACTATCTCGATTGGAGGATTCTGAACACTTTGAAATGGTCTCTAACGTGCAAGTGATAGAGATGTACGGTATACTTCTATGGCATAGCATCCCTCTAGCGCTCACCCGGAAACAAGTGCCTTTTAATCTCATTCCTCGGTCTGTGTCATTTGCACACTGTACTACTAATGAAAAATATTTGTATGATACGCAAATTATTTAGGAGAATAGTCTTCCGAGCTCGTTTTATTTTGCTTGCTATGCTTTGGTTCAACCAGGTAGAGCAACCGAGCAATGTCAAGAGGCGATACACTCTGAAGGTTATCACATAGATGAACATGTATACTAGCAGTAACCATGGATCGATTGGTTGACATATGTGTTTTCCATGGCTACAATTCGTATTGAAGTCAAACCGAACATGAATCGAACAGTATTTCGACTGGGTATGTGTTTAAACATTAAAGTTCTCTCCACCGACAAACGACATTATATCATCCCCCATAGCAATAATATCATTAAATTTTACATGCCTGCATGTCCTCGAGGTTCGTGCTTCAATACCCTTCGTTCTTGTCTGCGGGCTCCTCCTCGCACAGCCGCGAGAAGAAGCACACCAATATATGCCGATCCAACCACTCCTGCAATTACTGAATATGCGATCATTGCGCCTCGAGGAGTACTAGGGTTACCTACTCCCGCCAAGCGGAAACCCAGTCCACCATTGACGATACCAAGGATCATCATCGAACGGCCCAACCAGCGATGTATGTAGGCAAAGATACCCTTTTCACCGCTACGGTGGAAGTGTCGGTGCTGAAGGAAGCCTAGCATCGGTTGAAATAGAACAAGAAGGGCCATGACGATAATACCAATAACGGGATGTGCGCTCATGATCAATTTCTTATCGATGACGAGTCTGATACCAACTCCCATGCCAGCGACGGCGAGAGCAAGTGCAAGAATCTGAAGTGGCGCATGGACCTTAGTGATAGAGAGTGGCCATGGCAATGGGACAAGGAGGGCAAATGATGGAAACAGCAGCACAAAAGCTATTGCCATGATGACTCCGTGCGCAATAAGCATGGACGTTCCAGGAGAGACACCCGGAAAACCAGTGACATTGCTCGAGTCAACAGCCGGATCGTACTCCAGAAACGGATTATCTGAGCTTGTCATCGCCCGAGAAAGATCCACAGTTGCGCCCCCACGCCCATCATGTCTTTGGATAGTCACAGTCGCACTGTCGGAGTTCAGCGGCGGACCTTCTTTATAGGCATAGATCCACTGGGTAGATGAACTACTCGGGTCCATTGATCCACCTTGCCATTCATTGCAATTCTCACAGAGCGCATTAGCCGTCATCGTACCGTCTTGGATACCACTGCCTTCGAGGAGAGAGATTCGAGAGTCTGGATTATACACTGGTGGAAAATGGCCTTCCCCTGAGCGTGGCGAAAGGGCTACATTGGTAGAGGAAGTTGAGTGAAGGATGAACATATTGGCGCCAGCCATCTGTGATCCTTGGCCCAGCCCAACCCATTGCAGGGTGCTTGGGGCCTTGACTTGGAAGAAAATGGGACCAGACCCAGAGTGTGCAGTGGTGTCAGGTATGGCAATGCTGAAGAACACTTCATCCTGGCCAACAGGAGAAAAGGTGGTCGGTCGTTGACCCAGTGTCATGGATGCTACCCCCTTAGTCAATAGCTATAGAAAAGAGATGCAAAGTAGCATGGTGAAATGCTATAAAAGCTTGTGAACATGGGAGACAGGGAGTACTGACCTGACTCCAACGCAGCAGCGCACAGTTTCACCGCAAAATGGAATCTCATTTCGAACAAAAGTCGACAAAACGATAGAGGTATTTCATCGCTTCACTGGGATTCTGCAACATCTATCTGAGGAATAACAACATTATATACATCGTCCCAGGGCGCCAAGACTACATCTGCTGCTGCCTAAACTGCTGACTTTTGCTTTCTAAACCTGGATAATAGTCTGTGAAAAGGGTTGAATAGGAATGTAGATGAGAGCACGTCAGTGAATTTTTCTATATTTATTTTATTTATTTGTGTTTTTTTTTTTTTTTTTTTTTTTTTTTTTTTTTTTTTTTTTTTTTTTTTTTTTTTTTTTTTTTTTTTTTTTTTTTTTTTTCAAGGAATATCATCTCATACCGATTGTGTTCTAGCCTTCACTGTTCGAAGGGTGCTTCCTGCTATGGAATATGCCAAGCAATCCCGCTGTTCAGCCAAGATCCAAGCCTGTATACGGGCCAATGACGCTAGATTATAAGAAGTATTGCATCCGTCTTTATGGGTCTGGGTAGAATTAGTACGTTGGCCTGACGTAATTGAATGTCAGAAGACCGACCATTCACTAAAGATGATCTAATTGTCCTCTTGGCAGCAAGATTCGGAGCGGAAGCAACTTGGCGTTAATTTTATGCCAATAATTTCTGGGATGGGAATAGGCTGACAACCATGGATGCATGGCTGTGTGAGCTACGGTCGGATTGGGTCATCGCTACCAACTGTAGCCACGCGGTGAAGCTAGGATTAGTGTTGTGCTAGGTTGTTAATCCAAGTGCTAGGGTCATCCATCCAACGAAATCTTGCCAGTAATTTTGCAGTGTTGCCACCGGGTGGACTTGGCTTGCGTACAGGAAATTCAGCGGTGTGAGTTGGGAAGACATGCTACCTACGTCGACGGTACGGTTGAGCCGATTGTACATTCCAGTAACCCACGGTGCAATTCTGTTTGGTTGGGGGCTATATGCCTCAGTGCGGATATAGTGTTAACTGGGTGGACTCGGATATTTGATTGGTTGGGAGCTGACTAAGACAGACATCAGAAGATAAACTGCAGCAACGAAAATTTCAGTAAAGGATGTGTATACCGCCTAGATATCCGCCTTTCTTTGTCATAACCTTCAAAGCAGCAATATACCTTGTAAGGCTTGGATTGATCTTCATACAAATAATACGCCCTATGGCTCTATAATAGAGAGCCTCTCTAAATCATATAACCATACTATTTTTAAAGGTACACTCTGTACACGACTAAAGAGTCGGGGATTCAGCAACAGAATCGTACGTTAGGCACTGATCACATTCTATATGCTCGGGTTAAGACTCATTTTTACTTTATCAAATTGGGCTTGAGAAGGATGGGCTTCCTGGAGCTCTACGGCATGGTGGCTTTCAGATTAAGACTTTTACGCTCCTCTGTCTCCTCCACAGGTCATAATTATACGCGACGTATCGAGAACGCCATAACTGCTAAGCCAACAGCAGAAGCCGTTCTAGAGCAACTTCGTATAGAGGTTTATCTGGGCCAAATTGAAGGATATGGAAAGACCTTGCTCAATACTCTTTTTTTTGGAGCAGGGGCCATTTAATAGTTAAGCCAGTAGTATAAATTTTAAAATATACATATAGATCTACCAGACCTATGCTAGCGCTTACATGAGATTTTTGTTCTTGCCTCTTCGCCGTAGGGGTCGGTCGTATTCTACCTCCCCCCAGAGCAATGCTTGGAGAGAAAAAAATAAAAAAAAATAAAAACAGGCAATTAATTGTTCTTGATGTCACCGACAGGCTTAACTATAACTAGTTTCCTTATGGTCAGCGTTCGGATTTTATGGTTTGTTCCTTTCTATGTACGCCATACTTGAGATTCGCTTCATATTAGTCGCCATGATTTAGCATGGTCTCATAATACATTGTTGTTGTACCTTTGATTACGTTTGAATCACTTCTCGTCTGACCCGTATTCACGAAGAAGGTGGGCACGATGGATGACGGGACAAAGAAGACCAGACAAAAATTGAAGCCAGTTTGGAATTTTTTTCTCTCTAGAGAGCCACACAAGTTCACATTTGCTGGTGTTGGCCATCAGAAGAGATTGAAGACAAGAAATGGCAAGCATTATCATTTTCTCGAGCGTCAGGCTCTCGGTTGTGATCTGCCTCAAAAGATCCAATACTCAATTCTGCGCTGTTTCAGACCGTGCAGCAGAAGCAGGTTTGACCCTGCCGTCTGGTTCGTCGACGGTGACGGTACTTTGAGGATCAATTTGATTGGAGATACCGCGTCACTAGATTCAATTCAGGAGTATGGGGACCCCATCCGAACGATCGGTTATGGCTCATTTGGCATTGTTCTGTTGGTGCGGAGAGTAATCAAAGAGGGCTCTCCGAGCTATGGTGTTCATGCACTGAAAGTCTTTCGCCACCGCCGAGGTGAATCAGGGTTTCAATACCATTACCGTATCGCGTCCCAATTTTCGATTACTTCTTCGCTGAAACATCAAAATATTGTTAACACATTTCAACTGGACCCTATAGGCCAGTATTCTCTCTGCATGTCTATGGAATTCTGTTCAGGAGGAGACTTGCATACATTGATCATTGACTCTCGTCAACTAGAGGAGACAGAGGCCGACTGTTTTTTCAAGCAGCTCATACGCGGCTTGACACACATACACCATATGGACATCGCACACCGGGACCTGAAACCCCAAAACCTCTTGCTGACTTCACAAGGCTGTTTAAAGATCTCAGATTTCGATATTGCGGAAAGGTGTCATTATACCAGGGACGGTCGTCCCCACACAACAGATAGACTGTGTGGTTCAGCGCAATATATCTCGCCAGAACAATATACCAAAAAGAAGTTTGACCCTAGAGCAGCAGATGTATGGGCTACGGGTGTCACGTACATTGCTATGAGGGTGGGTTGGATACCTTGGGAAATTGCTGAGCCGGAAGAGGATGACGGGTTTCGGAAGTTTCTTCAATGCATCGGGAATTCGGGCTATGACCCGATTGGAAGGCTAAGTCATGTTAGTTGCTGCTACACTCCCCATCCAGATAGGGGACGCTCATCTTAAGCTACTTACGTCGTGGTAATCTTAACAGATCTGTCAAAATGTGATATGGTCCTTGTTGGACCCGATTCCAAGTCGTCGTCCGACGGCTCACAGTATCATTCAGTCTTTATGGATGCAGGAAGTACTGGTATGTGAGGCTGGTGAATATGGATATTAGTTGGTTAGACCGTATAGGTACGTACACGTTGCTTTGAGAATGGCCCCTAGTCCCGAATCCTGGAGTTGCTTACTAATCACATTGTGACAAGTTATCGCGTTGGCGACGGACATGATCCAATCCTTAGATCAACGCCCAGCGACCGGAAGCACCCAAACAGGACTAGACGGATGCCGTCGGTTGCAGATCAACCTCGAGCAAATTGATGAGTTGATACGGTACGAGACTTACATTGAGAATACCTTGTCTTGTTTACTTGGCATGTTCACATCTCCGTCTACGGGCATGCGAACCACCTCGCTTTCAAGGTTGTGTCAAAACCCAGATCGTCTTGCCCACCTGTAGCAATCAAGCACTACGATTCATGAACAGGATTCGGGCATATCAGAGATAACGTATCTGAATCTGGGAAATAGCCTCGCTTGTTCAGCATGTGGTGTATACAGTACTCCATACTGTATGCTTGGATGTTAACCATGTTCTCAAGGCGATTCTATTTTGGTCATGTATCTTACGTATAGGTTCGTCTGCAAATGATACGTTGATTGAAAGCTAGTCGATGCTTTACTGGTGATAATTGCAAACCTTATAAAAACTTTCATGTATATAGGAAGCGACGATTGTGAACATTTTTAAACGGTTGGTGGCATATCTACTGTTGTGGGATGGAATATGGTCACCAAAAAAAGCGTTAAGAATACATCCCGCGTAAAATTAAAATTCTTCCCCTAAACAATATGATGCATGATTTACATAAAAACCATCGGAAAAAGTTAGCAAAAGCTGGTCTTTCTCCGAGGAACGATGCATATAAGAGCTCTCGCATTCGGGGATATCCGCTGCAACATTAACTTCCTTACTCTTGCCAGAAGTCAGACTGCAATGCAGCCGATGCTCCAAAGTACCAGCACGCCGTAAGTTGAACACATGTAACTAGGTAGCGTTTTCAACGGGTGAGTGGTTCGCACGAACGAGTGGTCCACTTTCCCACCTTCTCCACCCTCTACTGGTATCTCTTTAACGCTTCTTCTTCCCGTCAAATTCATCGAAAATGCCCCTCTATCAAGTGAATAGAGTCCAGACAGCGATAGCCTACAACTCAGAGAAGAAGCTCAGTCAAGACCACGCGCCGCTGCAATATTCTTGATAGCATGGCCAAGATGGGGCCATCAGATATCACATACCCCTCGTTCGTGTGGAGCGATGGAGAAGCCACCAACGTGATCTTTGCCCCCGAGTCTCACTTGGCGGCTGCGGTGGCATCTGATGCCAATCCGTAGACCATACGATGGAGTTTCACGCCTCAGCCTCCCCGGCCGCTCCAACAGAGGAGATTCGCGTTCAGAAGCGGACACTTGTGGTCAATGAGACCCCCGGAGGGACCAGAAAGCGTATACCGACATGACAGTCCTTTCTTGGCTGTCGAGGAGAGCCGGCGGCCGTTATCACCGGTCGGCGAGTACGGTGGGAATGTCCATCGCTCCCAACCGCTGAGCGAGAGGTCGGCAGCCGGCCACCAGCGCCACACTCGGCACGCTCCAGAACGAAATTCACACGAGCTATCGAGCGACTTGATCTTTGCGGCGTCGACGCACGTCTCTCGGGCCTCCAATGCGGTTAAGAGATCGTGAAACGGCAGTCTGAAGAGTCTGTATGACCGAGCCAAGCTGGTCAATATCAAACACCAGCGCACGGACTGGCTTCGCCATTTGATCTAGTGCGGCGTGTACATATTCTTGGTTCTTGTAGTGTATTTCGTCCTGGTGGGATTGCCGCTTTGGAAGGGCACCGTCCACTGGCTATACTGGGTCATGCAGTAGAAACTCATCTTCCAGGGCGGCTGGGCCATCTGCTTTATATACTCCCGTTCACCATCATCTCGCTTTGAACGCTTTGGAACTCGCCCTGATGTACGTCTCTGGATACCATCCTGCAGATTTAAATTATCAGGTAGCGGGATTTCATCCTCCTGGACCCCATCATCCTCGTCTCCAAACTCAATCAGAGATGTATCTCTAATCTCTCTAAGAGGTCTCTCACCAAGCCCAACCCTGCCCGGGGCCTGTGATAGTTGAGTCTTACCTAAAGGGTCTTCTTCAGTATCACTGATTAGATCAAATATATCATTATCAAGCCTCTCGGTTTTCTTTCTCTCCTTCACCGCTTGTATCTCCTGCGCTGTAAGATACTCCTCTATGAAAGTATGATGCTCACTTTCAATGTCAAACCTTGATGTACATAAATACATCATAAGATCCTGGATAGTTGTCGGTTTGAGAGACCCTCGGCGGTAATGACAGATATTACGAGCAGAGTTGAATAGCCGTTCAACACCAGAACCAGTCGCAAGAACAGAAAGGACACCGTGTGCAAGGCTCGCAAGGACAGGGAACTCATATTGATTGCCCTTCCAAAAGATGCATGGATTAATCTTGCGAGTACCTAAAAGATTAGTAAGAGATAATAAAAGGCAGTTATCTACTAGCGAATTACTTAGCACTTCCAAGATACTGTTTAAGCTCATCATCATGGTTAATCTCAGACCCCTGGCCTTCTGTCTGTCACCCATTTGATCAACTATAGAGAACTGCTCCATAGAAGAAACCTTTGTCATCAAACACCACCCACAGAATTCATCATCCATCTCCTCAGTCCAGAGTACAAAGGTTTCTGCTTTGCAGTGGGCCCAACGCATTCTAGCGTTTGTGGAAGGGGGGTGGTACTAATGGTCGACTAAACTCGCCGTCGGGTGTAGGGGTAGGTGTCTGCTGAAATCAAGCACCAGGGGTAAAGATGTTGCTCCGTCAGAAGATATGAAAGGTTTTCCAGAGGATTGTCCTCAAAGATAGATGAAGGGTAGGTATCTGAGAATCGAGAGACTTGACTTAATTACACAGATGATGCCACTTCTTATGAATACTTCACTGGGCAAGACCTGGACTGCATGATCAACCAAACCGTGTCCACATTAATGGATTGTGGTTTCAAACCAGTAAGTCATCCACATATCTCTCACCAGAATACAACCGCAGCTCATACAATAGCAGCCTGGCAATGATGGAGCTGTGGTCGCTCTGTTCACACTGTCGGATTTCAACATGGTGGTTGCCTTCTTCGCGCTTAGCAGATTAGGGTGCACAGCCATGATGGTCTCTCCATGACAGTCAGCTGCGGCGTGCGTATCACTCCTGGACATGGTCGGCTGTGACACGATCCTCTATGGGCAAACACCAAGCATCCGTGCCACGTTGGGTGAGATTCTCCGTCTGAAGTTGATCGCATGCCGTCCAATCATTCAAAAATCGTGTCTGGATGCCCCCCAGGGGACTGACGTCTTGGTCCTCCACCGAACCCGGAATCCAGAAGTCCAAAAACAAAGGGTCGCTTTGATCCTTCACTCCTCTGGGTCCACCGGTCTGCCAAAGCCTCTTTATCTCAGTCATAAAGCCATCATGACCCATCCAATGCGGGGTCTGGGGTTCACATCCTTCAACTCCCTACCGTGGTATCACCTACACTGTCTGTCGACTGCTCTGCAGGCAATGTACATGAGGAAAACGGTGTATATGTGGGATGTATCGCTCCCCCTAACAGCATCATCAGTCACTTCAGCGCTTGAGGCTGCTAAACCTGAATCCTTTCAGGTTTTTCTTATCTTCTTCAACTTCTAGTCGGTAGTCCAAAGGGCCTGGATGCTCTGAGACAGTGTAAGCTAGTGACATATTGTGGCGCACCATGCCCTGATGAACTAGGCGATCGCCTCGTGGCAGAGAAAGTACACTTTGGTGGTTCGTTTGGTCTGTAAGTAGTGCTTGAGACCCACCACGCTGATACAGTCGCCTAATCCACTTATAGAACGGAGGCAGGCCTAGTAGCAGAGTCCCTCTCCCGCCCAGCAGGCGATCCTTTCTGGAATTTTGTGAAGTTTTTCGAGAATCTTCGCCCCTTCATTTGGATGAAGCCCATCGGTGCAGATCTATATGAGTGTGTGTACCTCGCTGGTCATCCAGCACTGACGGCGTCAAATTCGGATGAGCCCCCAGAGTCGTACCATTCCCGCGACGTCTTCACGCCGCACTCTACCATTCCTGACCGATGGAAGTACGTGACCAGATTCGATGATCGACTTACCCTCGTCAATGGGGAGAAGGTGCTGCCCCTGCACATTGAGGTATCGATAAAGCAAATCTCACTGATTCAGGAGGCCGTTGTCATCGGAGTGGGCAAATCTGGCCCAGGTCTTTTGGTCTTTCGGTCAGACTAGGCAAGAAGCTTCATCGACGAAGAGTACCTCAATCTGATCTGGCCCACAGTGGAGGGTGCAAAGCCCCGAGCTGAGCAATTTTCCCAGATCTCCCGAGACATGATCGCGCGGTCTTACCCGTTGGCTCAGCCTGTCCTCGCACAGATAAGGGGTCGATGATTAGGGCACAGGTATATGCAAAATACGCTGATGTGATCGAGGAGGCGTACACTAAGCTTGAACAAACCGCCGACGGTACCCTTGAGCTTGATCAAAGTAACACAGCAGCTCATCTTATGAGAGCCTGTCGAGAAGCTTGGGTTCCCCATCTCAAGACCGCATTCCGCCTTCTTCGCAGAGGGAGTCGATAGTCTAAAAGCAATCCATCAGCGTCGATTGATTCTCAGAGATTTCATGATCACCGACAGCAAGACTATCAGTCAGAACATAGTTTTTGAAACGGGAAGCGTCTCCCGCTTGGCAAAGTATATCTAAGCCGTGCAAAGTGGTCAAGATACAGAGGTCGAAGATGAGGTGTCATTGATGCCCGGAGCGATTGAAAAATATTCAACGTTCCGCATGCACACACCCAATCCCAACATCGTCTCAAACAACTGGAGTGTAGTATGCCTCGTTAGTGCCATAATTGTTCTTTTCATTTTTCTCACATCCTTCAGATCCTTACTGGTGCTACTGGGGCGATTGGCGCGCACACGCTTTTCAAGCTTTTGAACGATATTACAGTATCCGCCGTGTACTGCCTAACACGACGGGAGCAACCAAAAGAAGAGATCCTGGATGCTCTCGCAGAGAAAGGCTTAGAGGCGATGCCCTTTCGCAAAAAGAAGATCGTCGTGCTCAAGAGTGCCCTGGACAAACCCGACCTCGACGTTGGCGAAGATATGCTAGCGGAGATGCAGCGATCAGTGTCACTGATCATCCACACAGCTTGGCCAGTCAACTTCAACCTCCCTCTCGCCAACTTCGAACCTCACATTCAAGGGCTAGATAATCTTATCCAGTTTTCGTTATCGGTGCATCTTCCCGCCCCAGCCGTGGTACTGTTCTGCTCATCGATATCAACGGCTCTCGGTGCCCCAACATCAGACAACGACAAGGAACCTCTTGACGACCTGAATAGAGCACTTGAAATGGGTTACGGTCGCTCGAAGTTAATTGGAGAGAAGATCGTAAGCAACGCTCGGAAATTGGGCGCTCGGGCCTTTTCCTTGAGAATTGGTCAGGTCTCAGGATATTCAAAGAAAGGTCTTTGGAATGATTCAGAGGCCATACCCCTGATAATCCGATCAGCATTGACCCTCAAGGCTCCCTGTGGACAAACTGGCATGTTCTGTTCTCGAAATTGCCAAGGCCTGCTCAGTCAATACAGTAGAAGAATCTGAAGGGGATGCGATAACCAGCGAATATATCGATGACACAATATTCAACCTGTCCAACCCTCGAACATTCACCTGGTCCGCTCTGCTAGATGCCTTGCGGCAGAGTGGGTTTGACTTCCAGACGGACCCATTCCACAGCTGGTTACAAATGCTGCACGACAGCGAGTCCCGAAGCGAGGAGATGATCAATCCTGCCGTCAAGCTAGCAGATCATTACGAAGCCACGTACGGCGAGGAAGCACCAGTACCAAAGACGTTCGTCACGGAGAAAGATACACAACCCAGTTAACACCTTCAGAAAGCTCGCCGTCGAAATAGTGTTGTGTTCCATCCTCGTCCAACCAACTTTGCATGTCATAAACATCAACAAAGATCTTTCTCGCTAGAAAGCCCCAAACAAAATCAAATACTTTTAGAATGTCCAACTTCACCTGGAGGGTCCTATCAAGATTATCCCCCCCCCCCAATATTCCCTTCAGCTGAGCGAAGTAATTTTTTTGGTTCTTGGGTCTTATACAGTGATAGTCGGGCAAGACATAGTGTCTCTACGGCAAACAAAGGTGCTATTAAAGCTTGGTAGAAACGTGTATAGCTTCGACTTTGAAGGCTAGAAAATACAGCACCGCGTCCAGGCACAGTGCCCTTAATGTGGTGTTCTGATCGATTCTAGGAGAGGCTCGACATATGCTAAAGCATAATCTTCCTCGTAGCATTCGCGACTTAGCCAGTGAAAGAAGACTGAGTGGGAATACATTGAACGAATGGAGGAATTGCGGTAAAGGTCGTAGAGGAGACGAAGGCCCTGCCATCGGCAGACGATCGACCAAACCTCGTTTCTGGTAAATGATCACCGTTCGAGGCATGGAGGTTCGAAATATCGGTGTATGTAGGACGCTTTGATAAAGATAGCCTTCCATTGAATGCGATATATTCAGGAAAGGGTAGTTGAGGGGTGTTCAAAACAGGCTAGAGCTTGATACCGTAGCGGTGATGAGCAGCATTGCCCTTATAGCTAATGGAACAAAATAATCAGGATCTAGAAAGCATAAGGCTCTACTTACCATTACAGATCGAAACACCACCAGGAGGTGGTTCTGTTGGTCAAAAGTTTCCTGCAAACGTCTATTTATCGTGCTAGGTGCAATGCATCGTCAATATCTAAATAGCAGCATATCGGCAGAAGAATTCCACACGAGATATTCAATAATGAACTTAACATATTATGGTCTCGCCAAAGGTGATCGGAGAAGCGTCTTTGGATATATGGTCTTGTTCTCCTGGTTATCATTACGCAACCTTCATAATGATAGGAACTGTGTTTGCTGAAACTGGGCCAACTTCGGCTCCGAGTCTCTGCTCCGAGAATGAACCGTAATGCCGGGTTTAATCCGAGGGTATCCCGGAGATGTTATTATTCGATGATAAGCAGCCACTGTTCCATTGGATAATGGTTCCCTTACAAGATGGGAAGTATAGTAGGTTTTGGCATAAAAGATTTGGCAGAAAAATAATATGTTGCCACAATGAACTTTAGACTGTCCTATTTTATTTCAATATTTTCAGATCCGATACCACCAAAGAGTCTATTATTCCTTGCAACATATTTCTGGCAGAGATTTCGTCCTTTGAAGCTGGTCTAGCTAATCATTCATGATCCTGTTTTGAGTTTCTAGGCGTTTTCGATGTATATCGTAACGGTCGATCTCTTTGCTGATTTGGAGAAGAAACTCCTGGAAGGACTGAAAACAACTGGGAACCAAAGTAAAAATAGCTTGACTTTGGGAGATGGGACTCTTTTACTGCTGTAGAGTGTCCATAGCATGTTTTTCTGGCCCCTGATTTCATCCACCCTTCTTGATGATCGAATTGATCTGGTGACGGTTTCTGTCCACGCCATTGCTCGGAGGTAATTCTCGTGATCATTACTAGTCATGTCAAGTAACTGTCCTGGTGGTCAAACTAGATAACGCTGAGGACGTAGCTGAATACAATGTGGTCAATCACACTAGGCAGTAGGTACTGCCCTAAAAGTTGACAACTATTTTACGAATTCATAAATAAAAAGCAAGTCTAGTTTTTGTGGAACATACTCAAAATATCGAGGATTGGATGGCGGTTTTCACTGGTGCTTGCTAACTTAAAAGATGGGTGACGTGGCTGATTGTCAAACCTTGAATGATACCGCTAACCCGCATTCGGTATCTAGAATGCAAATTCGCATTCTGGAGACGTATTAATTACAGCGCTAGTGGCTATAGAGTTCGTACTTTTGTTTCACTTTCATTATCCCTTATTTTTGTCAGACCTACCAAACAGTTATTATTTATTGAGGTCAGATAGCTAGTTAGTTAGAGGAATCAGAGAACGCTTGCTTGGTTACATGGCGTATACGAATTGGGGCGTCGAGTCGACAACCAAAGATTCTAGCATCTCATTAGTCTGGTGAAGGTCGCAGCAATGAACTACGATCGTGCAATTACTCCCTGCTGAACAATGGCCTGCAACACACTATACAGAGCCAATCCAGGTAATTCAATCCTCAGAGCATACCCTACTTGAAGACATCTACCACAATTATCATTCTTCTTGTGACAACTCTTCGTTCAACAAGTGCCACTAAACATGGCGTCCAGAGCGTTCTCTACGGCGCTAGGCGCATGAAAAGATTCAACTAGAAATTGAAAGGAACGATGGATGACGTTACATGGCTGACCGAACAAATAGACGACACCGTTGACCATATTCTTGGGCTTCAGAACGTTGAGAGTGGACAGGTAAAGTAAGATTACAACATGAAAAATGTTGACAACTTCTTACCTCTTGAACCTCTGCAACATTATTTAACAATAGGAATCGTGGCGTTCCACAAGGTCAAAACATTCCTGCGGATATTATTTTCACACGGGCACTTACAAGTCTATCGAAGAGTGGCTCTGTATAGGGTTGAATGGTCCATGGGCTTGAAATGCCCATAGGGTGTTCGCGAAGATGTAAAAATGTGGTTTTCCATACGGCCTATATCTCCATGCGCCGAAATTAACCATAGGGGGTTAAAAGGTTCCTCAGAATTGTGATTTCCAAAGGGCTAAAAGCTCCATACATCCCCACCGCCCCCAGGGTGTTCATGGCAACGTAGAAGTGTGGCTCTCTGCATTGACTAGCCATCCGCATGCCAAGAATCATCGTGGGGTGCTTATTATGTTGAACATAGCGCTTCACGGGGAGCAGTTTCCCACAAGGCCGAAAATGTCGCAAGGCATACATGAGTCGTAAAAATGTGGTTCGCGACGGAAAAACATGGCCTGCCAGATGGTCTTGAACACCGCGTGCCTAAAATTACCGCAAGTAACTATATATTTGGAACAATTAATGGCTCCGGACAGGGCACGGAACGAATTTATTCTATTGTGGTGTACCACAAGGCTCAAAATATCCTATGCTTTGATTATTTTGCCTTCATGTCTTATCAGACAATAGCTACGAAAAAAGGGCTTCATTTTCCATTGTATATTATGGTGTTCCACATGACTTAGCGTACCATAGCCCATAGGTTTAGGCCGATACCCAAGGCACATCAAGTTTTGCCAAGCTTCCAGGGCGAGTCTCTGTAGTATTAATGCCTTTTGGATCACGGAGAATTATTGTCATGACGTCTAGCGTAGATTTAGTTTTCATAATTGGCAAAGGCAAAGATTGGGAAATGCTTTTATGTCAGCCCTTCAACGGCAGTCCTATTCTGATGCAACACTGCCTTCTTATAGAAGGTTGGTAATGCATACTTCGTCTGTGGATCTTGGCATGTAGAGGTCTGTGTTCACAATCACTTGGCGATCGTTTGGCATATGAAAGATCAATGCTGTATATAATCTTTCTTTTTTTAATGATGTAAAGGTACAGACAGTGGCGGAATAATAATATTTACACTCATTTTCAGAGTAAAACAACAACGAACCATTTTATTTCAATCGCTACCAACATGGGCAGAGTTCAATAAACCCCGCAGTATTTCTGCCGTCCTTCTCCACCTTGTTAAAATATAGAATTCAAAGTCTTGGGCCTATTACTTGCTTCAATGTCTGGCTATTTGACGTGAATACATATCCACACGGCGCAGCGAAGTAAATGCAGCCCTTGCCCCTCTCTATGACTCATACGCTAAATTCCTACAAAGCATATCTGGCTCAGTGGCGACGAAAGTCAACCTCCCACCAATGAATTCTCTCCTCAGCCAAAGATCCACTCATGGACTGTTGAAACAACTTGCGGCCCAATAACCTGGCGCCTCAGGCTACTGTCTATTTTTTTGGGAGCGCTTCGACCACGGTCGCTCACGCGGTTAATTATCGACAAGTAGTAACTTCCATCTCCTTCATAGCTGACCAGTCCTGGGTATGGCTGGCATACGTCAATATGAGATAGAAAATACAACGAGCTGGTAGATGTGTGGATCCCAGGCCATTGGGAAAATTAGTCCCGCGAAATCGAGCTAGAAAGGGTGTTCAATCCAGAGCAGATCAATGGTATAAGACTGGAGGCCAAGTCGGAATTTAGGGACTGGGTATGTAGACTGACTGGGAGAAGGAACAAACGCTTAGAAGTAGTAGACCGTGAGCGTGGGGCATAGATCTGGCAATAAAGGTCACTAAGTAGAGATCGGTCCGACTCAAAAGGTTGAGCTGGCTCGAGATCCATGGATTTGTTTTCTCCAGCCCTCGCACCGCCAACTGGTGGCCGTCTCGGCTTACAATTTAATGCAGCCATTAATACCATAGATTTGTGTTACGGATCCTGGTCTACTGCGCCACCAAAGTAATATATTGACCGGGTCGACGAGCAATCGAGATGCTCGCCGGAACATCATGAAACAGGGCATTCACAGCCACGCGTGGAACGCCCCCAAGGTACTAAAAAACATGAGAACCTCGGGGGTAGCCGTGTTACGACGTAGGATCGTTCATAATAGCATGATGAAGATTGAGGCCATGTTTCGCTCTTTCGGGATTGCTTCACCCAAGAAATACTATACATATGATGATTAAGTTGTCAGTCTCTTCTCAAACAGAGGGGAAGATAGATGAAATAATGAAATCTTACCTTCCCAGTCCCATTCTTGCATAACACTGACCCAATGTAATTTCCCTCTAACGGTCTTTTCAAATTCGATGTTTTCCAGGGGAGAAACCGCAGAGCTCCGCCGTGGGTTCCCAGTTCCTCTGGAGGATATCACCCGGTCTTCAGCTGCTGGTCTTCCGTATGACTCCTTAGCAAACATGAAGGCATTACTTATAT